GTTCCTAAAAATTAAATAAAATTAAATAAAAAAATAGAAAATAAAAAGAAAATAAAATTCAAAATGAAAAATGAAAAATATAAAATAACATACGTTTCCAAAACGAAAATGAAACCAAAAAAATATAGTTTAAAACACTAAAATCGAAAAACTAAAAAAAAACTAAATTAAAAAAGAAACAAATGTAATCAAAAAGTACATAAAATAAATTTCTAAAAATTAAAAAAAGAACTACAAACATCCTTCTATGTAAAACAATATGTAGAGTAAAAAAAATAAAAAAATTAGCAAAAAAGACAAAAATATGTTTCTGAAAGTTTAATTAAATTCGAAAAATAAAATTAAAATTAAAATAATACAAATTTAAGAAAACTTTAGTTATAAAAACAAAAAAGTAAGTAAGTTCTTAAAAACTAAGTGAAATTAGAAAAAATAATTTTCTATTTAAAACAAAAAATCTAAAAATTGGGGAAAATTATATTAAAAGAAAGAAACCAAATTAAATATATATATATTAATAGAAAATTCTAATGCAACAAAAAATAAAGGAAAAGCATCCGCTGCTCACTCAGCCATTGTTACTTTTGGAGCAGAGCGAGCAAAATGTTATACATCTCCATTTGGAATATGCTCAAGAGCTTTTCACTACGAAAGTCGACAAGAGAGCTTTTTTGTAAATACTTCGTCCCAGAATGAACAAGATCTTTCAAACTATCTTGCCTACTGTCTGCAAATACTCGTATCTTAGCCAGAATTGACCTGTTAGTCTTTGTCTTCCTATTCGTCTTCATATAAGTATACGTATTCATCTTCGTTTTCATCTCTGTATTCGTGTTCGTCTTCCTAGTCGTACTCTCCTTTAATTTCGTCTCCGTTTTCGTTTTCGGGTGGTCTTGATGTTCATATTCGTATTTGTTAATGTTTTCGAGTCCGGCTTCGTATTCATGTTTACATTTATCTTCGTTTCCTCTTCGTGTTCACATCCGTTTTTGTCTATATATTCTTATTGGTCTTCGTTTCGTCATCGTATGCCCCATCGTATTCGTTTTCGTATTTATATTCGTTTTCGGTTAGTCTTCGCATTACTTTTCTTCGCAATTGCCTTCGTATTCTTAGATATATTTCTTCGTTTTCAGTTCATGTTCGTCTTAAAACATCAATCCCCAAAAAGAGAATAGAGATAAAACACACAACCCGGAAGGAACCACCAGCTAACCCGAGCTAGTAAATTTACCGACATAGTATGGCTCAATTAAAGAGAAGAGTTCACCAGTGCTAGGGCAGAGAAACTTGGATGGGTTACTATCCCTTTTATTTCAGAATCAAGTACAGACAATGAGAGGAGTACCGTGACTAGCGTCGCTTGATGCTTCATTGACCACCGTACCGTGGCCTTGGACGACCAGCTTCGAGCTTCAGCCTCCGAGGAAGCTGATACCACTGTAAAAGCGTTGGATAATGTCGGGTCGGAAGCAAGGGATGGCTAAACCATAAGCAAGCATGAGACAGATTAGTTAAACCTTCACTACTCGCAAGCAACGTCGGCTGCTTTGCTCCTCTATATTACCAGGAGAGGATACGAGCTTATATTTACTCAATAACCATGTGTTATGCAATAGGGGGTTTATGAACTCAACTCTAATGCATAGCATGTCTCCCGCAGTGACAGATAAATTAGATCATGCATTTTAATAAAGAAACATTTTTCTTAATTTCTACTCATACAGTTTAGAGCCGAAGACACAGTGAGCCTGAGAGTGGAAATACGATTGAAACTACTTTGACTTTTGTGAAAGCCGTAATATGACATACTCCCCTCGTACCGGCAACGTGGGAACCGATTCAACGGCAACCAGAAGGTGTAAAACGACACTTGAAATCTAATTCATAGTAAAAATTCGGACTGGAAAAAAATCGCAAACAACGAATATATATTGCAAAGTTAAAGTATAACTTGACATTTAAAATTAACGTTGTATTATTCTTCTTAACTTAATATGGTTTCACAAGCTCCGGTTTTCGGTTAACTGGCAGCCGGTTTGCCGGCACAAAGTGTATGTGTAGCTATTGGAGCTTTCACATGAGCCGGCAAACCAACTGCCGCTTAACCGGCGACCGAATCGGGTGAAACGCCACTTACACTCTATTCATAATCCAAGAGATCGTGTTTGCTTTGACGCTTCCAATTGAGTGGAAACAAGCGCTTCCAAATTTCGTAGCGTGGCATATTTAGACCCTCCCGAAGCACGATTTCCTCACCAATATCCAAGTAGTGTTGGCGCTTAAAGCTAAAAGCACGCCAGCGTATATGGCGCAACTTGTCATCGCTCTGCTTATTGGGATCGCTGAAATTAGTGTGAATAAATAGTATTTTAAATGCACTCAAATTGGCAAAACACTTTAGCTGACGCACCCTTTATAGGCGAATGCTGTAAACATTCGGGTTAGTTTATCGACGATTTTGATTTCACGATCGTCCTCCGTAAACATGCGGCTCACCGATGGTTCGACAAACAAATACATCAGATCGTCATGATGCACAACACCTTTGGATGAGAGTTGTGTGATTACATGGGCATTAAGAGGTTAATATTTTCTTTGTCCTACCAAAAGGTTTATCTGTGGGATAATAAATATGACTGCGCTGTCCTTGATAGCTGAAGCGGTAGTAGTAGACTTTGGTAGAGCGCGCCGCTAAATGCACAAAGCGATGTATTGCAAAACCAGTTAGGGCATCAGCGAAGAGCTGAAATGTGTTGGTTGAAAAGTAAAATGCTAATGGAAATATGTATTTCACTGATTATACGAACATCCACCAAAGGTTGCAGAGTGCCTGCATATTCCAAAGACTCTTTGCCGAAATATGCAAATTTCAATTCCATGCTAATATTTTGCGCACGTGGGCTATCTGGATCGTAAAGAAAGCACACTGGCGCTACAGCCTCGAAATTATGCGCCAATGTCTTTAATAAACGGGGATTCTCAAGAATTGCTAGAAGAGTGTATGAGTATTGGTGTAGTTGGACGTTACAGTAACAACAACTTACATATGGCCTGTCCCGCGAACTCATCCTTCGTCATGCCAGTTATGATGGGTATTTTCATAAAGTTGCCATTTTGATAGGACCAAACAGGATCCTCTGTGAGAAAGCGCTCCTGGCCATAGTCCGGTTCGATGACTGGTTTCCACAATATCAGCGGATTATTGCGTCCAAATTCGAACATATGCGGCAGCGTATTGGCATATTCGAGGTAATGTTTCTACAAATGCATACAATTTGTTAGTAATTCCCCTATCTTACTTTAGCGCCAACGACAAACCGAGTGCAAACAGCTCATCATATCCGTTAAGTTTTCCGTATTGCAGTGCAGCAATGCCGCTTGACGTGTTGCCAAATCTAATTGCTCCGATGGCAGCGACCACTGCCCTGTCACCGAGCCACTCATAACGATGGCTTTGTGAAATAAATTCCTGGACATCGGTGAAACCATATGCAACGTAATGCTGATCGCGCCTGCACCATAGCCCAGTAGCGTGACGGAGTTTGCATCGCCGCCAAAACGTGATATATGCAATTTTACCCAACGCAAAAGCATCGCCTGATCTTTCAAACCCATATTACCGAGCGCCTCTTCAGTGCCAGTGCTGAGAAAGCCAAGCGTGCCCAGCCGATAATTGAATGTCACCAATAGAATATTACGATCCATAAAATACTGCGGACCCGCAAAATTTTTACTCTGACCCGAAAGCGCATAAAATCCGCCTGGATGTATGAAAATAATAACCGGTTTCTTTACATTCGGTTCCTTCTCGGTGGGCAAATCACGCGTATAGATATTCACACGCAAGCAGTCCTCGGATACATCATCGCTGTATAGACCCGGTTGTGGGCAACGCGGTCCATCAAAGGTTGCATCGAAAATGTCATACCATTGCTCCACCGGTTCGGGTGGCTTGAAACGCAATGCGCCCACAGGTGGTTTGGCATATGGTATGCCACGGAAAGCGTAAAAATTGCGTCCAGCCTGCGATGGCAACAGCGTGCCGCGTATTTTTCCTAACGCCGTGGTCAGCACCATATCCGATAATTCTCTATCCAGTCCTTCGGCTGTATTGTTGTCTTCACACTCGACGCTGGCTGCACTCGCCAGCAGCGCTAACGCGCACAGCACAGCCACACCGCGTATGCAGCGACAAATTGGCATTGCAATGCTGCGAAAGGATGCGCAAAACTGATGCAGGCCGACGCATGGTAGCAGCTTTTATAGGTGTGGTCATCACAACATGTTTAGATATCGATGCGAAATTCAAATTGATTATTATTGCTAGTTGCGTGGGTGTAAATTTACAAATGATCTTCACAATCAAGTGGAACGGCCAAGGAACAGTCCGACCGAGACCACACACGCGATCAACGCGGCGGAAAGTGATACCGCCATGTCTAATTGTGTGGCAAATGTTGTGTATGTTGCACATTCAGCATTGCAAGAATAGAATGTTGTTCATTATTTTATGCTGCAATCGGGCCAAGCGACCGGTATTGGTAGATTAATGAAGTGGCCAAAAGAATGCATATGGAATTTCAAAATGGCAGATATCTTCGAGTGTAAAGCAGCGTATAGGACAGTAAAACTTTGCACGCTCACTATTGCAATATGCAAGCGCACGAGTTTAAAGCCCTCACACCGTGCAGGAATGACCATCTAAGTAGCAAAGCTGTAGAAGCAAATAACGAAATACCTCAACAAATGCTGCAAAAGAGGTGTCCGGGCCCATTACAAGGAAAGCTTTGAAAATTATAAAAGTCCATCTGGCACATGATTAAGGGCTTCTGGAGGGAATCTCGCGAATCCTCTGAGGATACCTAGACTTTTGTGGATAAAATATCGGATATGGACGGAACATTTATTACCAGTCATAACTCAGGCCACTTAAGCATTTACTCTGGTAGTAATTTGTATGCGTCGCCTAATGCAGAATCACGTTCGGCTAAGCCGGAAAATAAAATAATGTTTATTGGCATAATGGTTTTCGTATTTTCGATGATTCAGAAGCAGATTTATTTCCTGCAGTATCTTTTCCGCTTCTCCTATTGCCATTATGTGAGCTCGAAAAATTTAACATTGGCCCGCAGTTCCTACAGCTTTGTCATCTACCTGACCCGTACCCCTATGCCAATCATTAACATTTATTGTCAAGAGACCTTTCGGAACTTATATTCGGGACCACACTGTCAATTTGACTTGTCAAAGACGACGGTATACTACTTTAGTCATCCAGATACTACGTATGTAGGTCCTGCTGGAAGTATGTGCAGTATTGTGTGGAGCGCCGCAGCTGTTCTTGTCTTCAAGGAACCCTTCATGCCAATCATTGAGAGCTTCTAAACGCTTTCCAGTCCCTTTTTTATGTTTACTATTTCGTCGCTGTCTATCGCACCACTACCACCTAGTATAGTATGGGCTTAACAATAAATGTGAATAACTAATCAATATGAAAAAGCAAGCTAGGGTCTCCAAGTGCAGCCCTACAACCGTTTTCATGTGTGCCACACCGCTGATGCCTTCTTCAACTGCTGCTCCACATTGAGTTTCCAAGACAGTTTGCTGTATAGTACGATTGTAAGGTACATATTTTGCGCTTAGATTTGGTTGTAGAGTGGACACCTTTTAAGTCGGTACTACGTCGGTATTCTTAACGTTAAGGTTCAGTACTCCAGAATGGAAGAAATACCGGCTGAGATGTTCAAAGCCGCCGTAAAAAGCCAGTGCCGCGCATGTTGTATAATCTAAATTTTCATGTAATTAAGTAAAAGAGTGGTTCACCTAAGTAGGGCTGCGCGGCTACTCTAGAGTTAACATTTCATTTAAGAACTTCTAGACGATATCTTGTTTCCTCTGAAGGCCTTATTGAACCTATTGATTGATGCTTTTCAGGCCTATTAAAAACATCATTAGCAGATTTTTACAATGAGTCAAATTCTGGAAAAGGCCTTAGAAAAAACAAATCGACGTATAGTCCCGTTCGTCGACGTTATCACTGGAGTCAACGCCATAGCCGACCGCTGGAAACAGCAAAGCAAGTTGGACTTGCGGCCGACAAAGTTAAAATAAAGTACACGAAAGGAGTATTTGTTCAGTGTTACCCTTTTAGTTAGAACAAAGCATCAACACCACCAGCCCGGAGATCAAGCGAGAATAACCTGTTCCAAGAGAAAACCTCCCGAAGTTTATGTCTGAGCAGAAAAACTTCGAGGTCCTCTGAAAATTAGAAAAGGATCGGTCTATACACGTTATGAATAGATGGCGGAGCTTCACAAACGACAAATGCAATTAACGCAGAAACCGACAAAGAGTTATCATACCAAATAAAAAGAAGAAGAACATAAAAGTGTTTGAAGATCTTTAAACGTTTAAGAGTATAATTATCTTCAGAGTAAAGCCATTTTCAAAACCAACAATCTGCGACGATTCAAGCTTCTAAGAACTCATTTCAAACAAATAAATTACCATACATAAAAAATAAATACGTACATACGCATACATACCTTTTGCTCCTAAAAAGAGCTTACAATAAGAACAACACAAATGTTCCAATAAATAAAGTGTTGAGATTCGCCTTAAATTTCCACCTTTTTGATGTCAAAGATTTTTTTTCATTATTTTTTTCAACATACCCTAAACGACGGCATTATCGGGTTAATCAAAAGGACAACCGAGCTACGCAACTTAAGCACAAAATACACACCAATTTAGTGTGAAATCCGGCAAATCAAGTCAAGTAAATTATGCGCCAATTGTCTGTGGCGAAAAGCAAAAATAAAGGGAGAACAAGACAAATAAGATCAGATCAGGGATGAGTTTACAGGTACGTATGTATGTCGTAAGCATTCGAACAGCAAATGTGAATTAGCATGGCCATTAAAAAATATATAAAAATAAAAAATAAGTTATGCAGAAGGAACAATTTCTTTGAAACTTTAAAGAAAAATGCTTGCTTCAAAAGTAAAGCAAACTATTTAAAAGCTGTTAAACAATAGACGCTGATTCTAATGGAATTAGTTAAACATTTATCTGTATGTATGTGTGTATTTAAATATATGTTGTTCTTTCGCTTAGGCACTTAGAAATGTCTTAGCACATCCGTTCCAGGAAACAATATATTTGCAGATAAACGTTTTGCGTCTAACTAATTCGGGCCGTCAAGTGTTATTCGATGTTACAGTGGTGCAGTTGAATCTGCTAATGGCAAATAATAGTTGTGGAAAAGGTTGCAATTAGGATGAATCCTAAATTTTTGCTTTTTATTTTTAAAGCAAAAATAAAAGACAAAGCCTTTCTGGAGTATTTTCAGTAGAAAGCCTTTCGATAAATTTGTTGCATTGGGCATTGCTGAAAACCGAATTTGTTTGGTGACTTTTTGTTTTTCTTTGTTTTTGTAGAAAGGTTCCCGTAACTGTTAGAATTCTTCCTTGGATTTCATTCTTTCGGCAGCTGTAGGCTTCTTTTGGAACCCTTAACGATTTTTTCGGACGATTTAAGGCTTTTTGTGATTTTCCTACTTTTTTGGGACTTTCATTTTTATTATGTTATCCGGAAATGTTTTTTGGGTTTCCAGTATTTTCTGTGATCTTTAAGAATTCTTTTTGTATCACTCATATTTTTTTTTTTACTTTTCCAGATTTTTTCGTGGTTACATTATCGTCCGAAGACGTCCAAAATCTATTTCTTGGAGTAGTTTTTGGTTATTTGAGGATGATTTTTGTATTCTTCGGCTTTTTTTAGGATTCCTAGGGATTGTTCGTGTTTTTCCGAAACTGTTTATTGATTTTTTTTTTTAATTTCTCGCAGTTTTGTAGAGTTTTCGGCATGTGTAATATATTTTTCCGCACCATTCAGAGATTTCTGTGGACTTTCGAGATTTTTCCTGCTTCATTTTAAATTTTTGGGACTTTCCGGTGTGATTTCGAAATTTTTTAACCATACCAAAAATTCTTGTGACTTTTCGTGATTAAATTTGAATTTTTTTATTTTTTGGGATTTTTCGATAGAATTGCGAAGCTTTTCAAGTTCATTTGGAATCTCTAAAGATTATTTAGACCTTTTCGGAATGTTTAATAAATTTTTCCGAACTTTTCGAACTTTTCGAGGGTTTTTCGTGATTTAATTTGAATTCTTTGGATTTCTTTTGGGACTTTCGGAATCTATAAGAAATTTTTCTGCACCATACAAAAATTCGTGTGACTTCTTGTGACTTTTCGACGTTTTTCCATAATTAAATTTAAATTTTTTTTTTAACTTTTCGGAAAGAGTTCGGAATTATTCAGCTTCTTTTGAAACCGCTAACGATTTTTCATCGGACTATTCAATATTTAGTATGACCTTTCGTATTTTTCCAATCTATTATGTAAATTTTCATAAACATGTTTTGGAATATTTCAGAACTTTTCGAGATTTGTAAGAAATTTTTCAAAAACATTCAGAATTGTTTGTGATTTTTCTATTTGATTTTTGTGCTTTTCAGATTTATGCGTGATTTTTTTTTTTTACATTCCGGTAAGATTTCGGAATTTCTCAACTGCTTTTGTAACCGCTAACGATTTTTTATCAGACTATTCAATATTTTGTATGACTTTTCGTAATAAAGTATTTCGTGATTCTTTTTGATTATCTTTGGGAATTTACGGACTTTTCGGGATTTGTAAGCAATTTTTTTAAGAACATTCAGAAATTTCTTCGACTTTTCTATTTTAATTTTTTGGAATGTTTTTTGAATTTTCGGGTTGATTTTGGAACTTTTTGGCATCTGTATGAGTGACTTTTTGTGATTTCACTTGAATTTTTTACATTTTTAGTGATTTTTTCGCGACTCGTTGGAGTTTATAAGGTTTTTTTCTTTGAATTTGGCTTTTCGCGATTTTTCAGGAAATTTTCAGGTCTCGCAATTTTGTGATTTTTCCGGGCCTTTTGTAACCTTTCGAAATTATCTGCAAAAATTGTATGGGATTTTGTTTATATTAATTAGATTTTTCTGTAGCTTCGCGTTTTTTTTTATGGAGTCTGTGTAATTTCAGAATTTTTTGTGACTTTCGGGACTTCTCCTGTTTCTCGAACATTTTCGGTATAATATCGGGATTTTCCAAATTTTTCTGGGACTTTTTTGAAATATTCAAGTTTTTCTGGAAGTTTTCGGTTTTCTCCGTGGG